AACCTCTATTAATTTAGGTTATTCTTCTTTATTAAACAAGACCAGTTCCCTTATACGGTCCAATTCAACACCTTGAACTTGGGACCCGAGTTATGATACCCGGTTTCAAATTTTTGGAACTAGGGTTTCGATAGATTCGGACCAAAACGAACCATATAGGCTAATTTGGTCAAATTTTCAGGATGACCCTACCCGATGCTCACCCCCACTTTATATATAGTAGTGTCATCTAGTGAATCAAATCAATATGCCTTGCGTATCCGCTAGTAACTCCCCTTTATTTGCAATGTTACCTTTTATCAACTCTATAGGATCATTTCTACCGCAATTCTTCGAGTTATATTTTGAATTTACTTTTTTATCCTCCGTTGCTAAATTTTAATCGTAATGATGTGCATTTTTAGGAGCCTCTTCTTATTCCCAACGTTAATTTTATAAAATGCAATAAATAATGGGTTGAGTTGTTATGCAGTAAATGAGTTTAAATATACATGAGTATGTTTTTTTTTTGTCAGATACATAGACGTTAAATAGGTCATAAATGAATTTACAATTTACTTAAATTCAATCTGCCTTTACTGCTCTTGTTCATCATCTCTCGCCCTCACCCACTGCATCGCCATCTCAGTTTGGGTACGAATTTTCCTAAATTAGATTAAATATAAGTCGAATATGAGTCGCTAGATTTGTATTGTGTATGCGGTGCTCGCAGGCATCGAACCCCATACCTAATCCTCTCTAGCCCCACCCTCCATTTGCCTTTATCAGCATGACTGCATGTCTGTTGGCAAATGGGTCTATTTCGGACGGGACCATTTTCGACCCGATCCACGCAACGGCCCGACCTCGAAGCAGAGGGAAGGTGCGCAGGATAAGAACCTGGGCAAAGCTTTTTTTCTGGATTTTGAGGCGTCCCCTGTTTCGGTGGAGAGGGAAACAGTAGCAGAAGAAGAAGGTAGAGATAGAGAGAGAGAGAGAGGCAGCTTTCGCAGAAACCGAAGATTGAAGAGTAGGGAGAGGGAGGAGGGGGGAGGGAGTGGGTGGGGGGTGGTGGGGCAGGGCCACTGACCACCACATGGGTTTGAGTCAGATAAAGTAAAGCCATCGCCGGACACTCCTCCTTCCTTCCTTCCTCCCCTCCTTTTTTTTAAATTTTATTTTTTTAATCAAAATTTTTTAAATTTTTTTATTCCCATAATTATTTCAAGTTATTAATTTTATTTTTGTGGGGAGTGAGGGGGGGAAGCAGACGGTCAGATCTTTTGCATGTGGCCTGTGGTTTAACATTCCCCCCTGCCAAATTCTCAGGCATGCGCTTCAACCATTGCAGGAAAAAGTGATCATATGGGGTATGGACAGAGAGAGAGGAATGAGCAGGTATAGAGAATGGAGTATTCTAAAGTAAATGTGGAATATTACTGAAATGTGTATGCATTTTGATATAATATTGCAAATGGGTATTTAGAAAAGTCGGTCATGTTCAATTTCTCATGATCGATGCTTAATATTTATGTCAATGCATCATCCACCGGCTGATTGGGTGTTCCCAACCCCGACATTTAACTGTTTTCGTTTGGAAAGGAAGGGGTGATGGCCCGGATGGAGGCGCAAGGAACCGATTTTACTCTTGAGAAAAGAAATTGACCTACCTACGGCTTTACATGCTCTTTATATACATGTGACCTTTCTTTACTTATGAACTTGAATTTTTATATTTGACTTTCTAAAAATATATATCCCAACTTATTTTGCGTTTGCGGCACTCCATTCGTCGAATTCCAACATGTCATCTCTAATTCGACTTGCATGTAATAGGTGTTAAAGTATCTGTTTCTTTCACAGTAGAATATCCTAAGTAAACTGTTTTCTATATTTGCTGGCAAAATATAGATATTTATATAATTCAAAGACCTTTCTTTGACAGATTTAGAGAACATTAATTTCGGCTACATGAATCGATTTTCTATCAAATTGAAGCAATGTTAACAACGACGATGACGATGTACCATAAAAAGAATTAACCATCGAGAGTGACCGTGGTGAGGGTAGTAACAACACTTACGATGGCATTCTTAACCAACAACGACCATAACAGTGGTGAAACTTGAAAGGAGAGTACGAAGTCGGGTATCACCTAAAACTGGAATTGAAATTGAGGGTGTACTAAGCCGAGTACCAAGTCGAGTATTGTGCAACAGCGACATGTGAAGCAATGGTCCGAAAAAAAAAAATGAAAAATTTGTATTCAAGCTCTAAAGTTAATTGAGATGCATATAATGCAAAATCGTGCAAATAACATGGTTACTATACCAAATTTGGGGTTAGTTGCACAACCTGGATTTCAAACTTACCCGTCAGCCAGAGATTTTTCAAAGTTCCCCACTAAACCAGTCGTGACATCATGCTAGAATTGAAAACAGTTTGAATATAATACCAAGAATGATATATAAAATAAGAATTCGCAGAGATAACAAAGTTGACAGAATATGCTTTTCGACATGACAAACCAGAAACAGTTAGGCACACAAAGAAGAGATCGTGGGTCCAATTTGGTGGGCGAGGAGGAGAAACCGGAGGAGGAGGAGCTCAATAATGGATGGTGGGAAGCAAAATTCATTCTCGAGACGCGAATTCCACATCGTCCCCACCACACGCCAAGGACCCCCTAGAAAGAAAGAAACGTATGCCGAAAAGATTTCATCGATTCGATTCAATTCAATTCATCGGACCGTGAACGAAATTTCGATCAATTTGGCGATGATGGTGATGATGACGATCATGGGTAGGAGTCCGTCCATGCATGCATGCGGTTGGGCGCCGTCCCACGCTTTCGTTGTCGAAGGAAGGCAACGAGAAATTTAAGAGAGATTCGGGGCTAGAGATTAGATTAGCTAACGTGTCATAATCCGTGCTGGGATCTTATCTTTATGAATCGCTTTTATCATGTTCGTCACTTGGAAACCAAGGATCATGATGGGTCCACGTTGGTTTTGGTAGGGGTGGCCGGTGGTACATTGTAAGCCAAGGAATGATTGTAAGCGATGGTTCGAAACAGGGTTTAACCAATGATCAAGCAAAGTGAACAGGCTAAACCAATGTTAGCACATGGAACGATTACGTTTTCCCTTTCCTTTTGTGTGTGTGTGAGAGAGAGAGAGAGAGAGAACGAGCTTACAAAACCCAACACGCCACGAGTCGACTTGACAATGGAAAGGGAAAGAAGGAACTTACCGAGCGTGGGCACAAGCATGTTTTACCTGACTAATCGAAACAACATTAGTTCCGAATCGCATCTGTTCATGCATGAGAACATTCGGCGATATTCTCTTCTCCGACGACGAAACTTAACTCTAAAATGCGAGTAACCCTGTAAAGAACTCAGAGCAATTACCCAAAGTTGCCGAGTAAGTTATGCTAACTACAGAGAAATAAGCACCATGGAATCATTCTACTTTAACAATCTTTAGAAATCTGAAGCGCCTGGGAATCTTGCACCTAACCATCATCACCCAGTAATATAAAATTCCGACCACTAAATAGAATGTAGCCGCCTACCAAACTCTGTCGGTGAGAAATTAGGCATCATTGGACTATTCTAAGTCTCGCGTTTCTACCGTTTCATCACCAAAGTCATTTCGTGACAACCTGGAGATCGTCTTGTTCAAGAGCTATCCTGAATATTTCAGTGTGCATAGCTATGAAAGATTGAATCACAAACTCCGCAATTCAGGAAAGGTCTTAAAAACCTCACTCCGACGCTGCTGCACTTGTATTGAACTGCCCTTTATTAGGGATTGAACCTACTTATGCACCCAGTTCACGGGTTTAAGGTTGTCTGAAACATAGAGACCACACGAAAGCGCAACCCGAGATGCATCCCAGAACGTAAAAAAGGTAACTTACCAGTCCGATTGCAGTGACTCTGGCACAACTGTGCTAGATAAAAGCAGAAAAGAAAAGCGTGGAGCAATGGGTGCACGCTTACATGAACCGCACTGTGCACATCATACATTCTTCCACTTTTCACCCCCCCCCCCCCCTTCAACCCTTCTTGACTACTTAATCCACCTCCATTCACTTCCTTCTCAATTCACATGTAGGAAGTAAATGCTGCCTCCAGTGAAACAAAAAGGTTAATTCTACCTGATGAAATCATACCACCGAGAGCAATTGTTTGCAGCCTCTGCTGTGATTGTCAAATTTTACCGACAAGAATCTAGATAAACTGTCGAGAAAATTGTCCACAGAGAGAGAGAGAGAGAGAGAGCCGTGTTTATTTATTTGCTGCAGGCAGCACAAATCAAAATGTCCTCAAAGTATCAAACTTGAAAAAGAAGAGCAAGGCAAAGCAATGACAGTTGATTTTCTGGAGGCAGGCACAAATCCAGCACGGTAATGAACAAGAATCAAATGATTAGCTTCATGGTTCTTATAGGAGTCCATGGAACCAGCACCTACCAAAACCATGAATAACAACAGGAACCAGTGGGATTTCAGGCAGAGAAGCCGGCATGGGCACCTGATAATAAAAGCATCTAGCACTCAAGCACAAGCTTCAGACTATTTTAAATTCTAATGGCTGGAAGAGGAGATGCTGCCCCTTATATAGAGAACTCTGACCTAGGTTACCACTTATAGAACCTGTCCCTGGACTCTCTACTCCTAATCTTCAAACTTTAGGAGCAACTCTTCAGCTGTCAAATCTTTCAGCTAGCAGGTGCATTTGTGGTGCTCCTTAAAATAAAGAAGGGACTGCAAACCAAACAGTCAATTGACCAACAGAACCAACAAACACATACCGACACCATAAAGAAGAAAAGTGGCCCAACAGACAACTATGCAAAACAGAGCGCAAAAGAACAAAGAAGAAACTTTACTATAGGATCAATCTCGTTTCACATCTGCTTTACTAAAAGAAATCATGCACATCTTTCGATGTATGAGAAAATCAGCTTAATGTAAGTGTGGATTTCCCGCAGCTGTTCACACTTGATATATACTTCAAAGAACAAACCTTTAAGGATATATTAGCAGATCCAACTTAAAGCTGGAAAAATTTTATGCTTAAAAAATTAGTGTTACTATATCAAAATAAAAAAACCATACTCAGAGGCTGTCCGCCTCTTGATAATCTTAGCATCGTCAGCAATTGAACACATAGGTATTCATCATTTCTCACAGCCACTAAAGGTTATATTCACAGTCAAGATACTTTGGCTGAGAAGATCTATGTGACACAAGCACATTGAGTTGTCATCGGCGAAATTCTAACTGGATGATAAGCATTCCCTCCTACTCTCAAATATCACCTTCTTCCGTGTGTCGAAGTCCAACTTATCCATATCTGAGGCTGTTCCAAGATAACCATAGAAAATCCTCCTTTTCTCCCCTGTCCTCACATCCACCCTGACAAGGTTTGGATTGTTTTCATCATCCTTCCCCAATGTCAAGGGCTGTAAACGAGCCCAACTCTTGCGTCCATGATTGTCCTTCTCAAAGTGTTCCGCTAGCTGCAAGGCCTCTTTAAGGCCTGATTGGTCCGCAGAAAACTTAATCAGGGTTATCCCTAGATGACCCTCTCTGCCATATAAGGACTTTGACTTGCCACCCATAAATCCAAGCTCTGAAAACCACAAAAGAATAAGAGAATACAACAAGTCAAAAAGAACTACAGTATCTCATATACCGAGCAGCAATAAACCCAAATGGAAATCATTGGCAAAGGTTCTAATCAGGTCCCCATCTATTCCAATTGGTTACTCTTGTTTGAAGAAAATTAGACTGCAGAATAGACACTAGAATTTTTTTCACCTGATGATGCCAATCAAACTACAAGTGTACAAATATCCTTGCCCTAACAAAGGTTGATCTATACTTAAGTTCAAACGCTTATCGAATTCAGAATCTACCATTCTATGTGCGCCGCACGCCCCCAAAAAAAAAAAAACGTGGAGAAGAAAATATCAGCCAGCCTTGTGTCATTTCCAAATCAATAATTTATCATGACCCAATGGCCATGATTACCAAAATTTATGAATCAATCATTCAAAAGGACATCAAACCAATCTGACTCATTGATTTCACACAATTCGGTGACCTAAACTAGTCAACCAGAGTAATTTTCATGTAAAGCAGCTAGTTTAATGTATTCTGCAGACAGTCCCATGGACACCAGCACTAAACACGTGGTATACAAGAAGAGAAACTTAAAAAGGCAAAGTACAAAATAACATCTATTTCCTGCTGAAAGACTAAACATCCATTCGACAGCATCGCAGAGAAAAGAAGATGCTACTTTTCTACCCTGGTCAACTCTAATATCTACTCAATCATACAGGCGTGAATGACTGCCTAAATTGTTGTCACTACATACTATCTGCCGCAGCATTAGGAGGAGAGGAAAGCATTGACAGTAGCACCTTCAACTAATACAAAAAATATAGTGAAAGGTACTCGCTGAATGAAATTATATGAACTTGTACAAAAAAAATTGTTAAAGTGAAACAGACAACTATCAGACCAACATTAACTTGAATCAAACACTTAGTCGAAACATCAAGATTCAGTGTTACATGACTTCAAGTACATCTATCAGGATGTCAAACAGATGAAACACTATCTGATCCTTTACAAGATCAAACAGATGGAACTCCAAGGTATGCCATTTAAGAGCACGCCTCAAGAAGCTTAAGCTTTCAGTTTTGGTATTTCAGATCTAGCCGAGACTAGTACTGGATTTAGTACTTGGGAAGAGTAACTTATAATATTTCTATCATTTCACTTTTGCTAAGGAGATACTAGAAGTCGAGCCTTCAAATATGATACATTTTATAAGGAATTTATTCACCTTCACTCTACCCAAAAGCTAGAGGAGCAACATCTGCTTCTAACTTCTGCTTCTAACTTTTTCAGGTTGACTTTTGACCGACTTTTGATGCCGATCAATAAATTAAATTAAAAAATCAAAATCAGGGCAAAAGCCAAGGCCCCCGGGCTTTAAACCTGCAGCTAAACCAATCTTGTTCTGAGGCCCTTTCCATACTTATTAAAAAAATTATAAATTATATCCTAACAGCTAGCACTAGCATATTAACACTGTCATAAAATAACTCGTTACACTACTCCATTGTAATATACCCACTTGAAATTGGTTAACATCTCTTGGTCCCTGGTACCTTACCCGCCCTAACCCTACCATCTGTCGCACACAGCCCAAAGCTATTGGATGTGAAAAGATTCAAAAACATTTAGGCACCTGGTGCCTATAAAATCTTCAGTAATTAGACTAGGATATGTTGTTCACCTCAATGTAATCCCAAATAACAAAGACTTACACAGCTGACCCACTGTGAGTGTAGAACAGCATATATCAGTGCGAAGCATACCAAAATTCAAAACTTATCACTTATTTTGGTAAGCTTCAACCTTTTAAAAAAGGGACAGCATGCTTCATCCTTATAGCACGATTTGCATTCTCTCTCATTTTTCAAATGCTTAGCAGAATATCAAATTGTTCAACAATCAAGGAACCTCTAGTCAGGAATACAGCATTGGGTTTAGATTATTATTTAACTGACACAGTTTCCATGTCCTTGTATCAGAACAAGTGGATTGTGGTTCTAAGAAAACAAAATGCTACAATATAGTACTTTCACAAGCTCGACAAAATACAAACTCAACAGCGGATTATTGCAATTACAATCCCAATCTACTAGGCTTCGACTATAAATAGCATGGTATTCCTGGAACCATTCAGCTCTGTCAGTGGAATTTTTCAGAACTAGTCCAACCCTTGCTTCAAGATGGAAATTCTGAGGTAGTACTAACAGCAAAGTAAAGATCAAAATAGAAGAATCTCACTTTACTGACTGAACCTCAAATATGTCGTCATTAATTAGGCATGACCTCACCAGTAAACTTGGTCAGAATGCGTGGAGGAATGACTTTACAAGATCAGAACTAACATTCAAATCATATCTATTTTCATGTAGCATAACTGGGTTTAAAAGGTCAGGCTGCAGACGAAAGTCGGGTAGATGGAATAGAGTAGACCATAAACGGATCACACCAGATGCAAGAACCTTGAAGAACACAATAAAGCATGGCGGTGGATTATACCTTTGACATAATTATCCATGGCTTTGATTCCCAACCCCTCCATGCGCCCTTCTTTACTCTTTCCAGTAATTGTATTATGAATGATAACCATTGGCGGCCACATGATCAGATCCTCCAGGTTAGCCGCTGCTTCTTCAGCAGGTAAGGATTGGTAAGCCTTCGAATTATCGGGAGGCTTTGCATAGTTCCAACCCATTAAAGCACATAGAGCTTTGTGTAAGCCCAAGTGATCCACACACAAGTCGGCATTTTCTGAGTTGTAAGTATGCATGATGAGACCATGCACATCTTGAAACTCTTTAGACGACCTGTATTTGCATATCAAATGAAATGAAGAACTTCTCAACTATATCCTAACATTGTTGGGCACCCACAAACTATGAATGCAGAAGGATTAGGCAATGAATTCTGATATGAAGAGGAAATCAAAGGCGAGTAATCAGTGCCATTTTGCAAACTAATGAGCTATAATAATTTGGCAATCAGAAGAACTGCCTCGTCAATAATCAGAAGAACAGCTACATCCATTCCATTTCTTGCCTCACCAATGTTGAAAAGCAATAAATGAAAATTACTTATCGACCACAAAATCATATCAAGAAGATTTTATAGGTAATGGAAGGGCTCTTTTTTTATATAGGTCAACATAATCTAATGTAGGGCACATCAGTTATGAAAGGACTCAAAGAGAAGAATTTCAGAAGGCCCATTTTTTTATCTCTAGCATACATCTAACAAATGCAAACCCAGCAATACAAGCGCAAACAGGCCAGACCGGTAAGGTCATGTGCTAAAATCCACACTAGAATCACTTAAAATTCTTGTAGGCAACCAGCACTGAACTGACCTGAAATTGAAGTTAAAACAAGAACCGGACTGAAATCCAGTCCCACTCCAACTTGGTTTTCAGGTTTCAAGTAATTAAGAGAAGACTACTTTTTAAACATTAATTAGTTGGAGAACGACTTAGATATAGTCTTTATTACAATTGTATGATCGCATCATTAAGTAACTTTGGACAATCATCAAAAGAAATGAAAACACTAGCCATTTTGTGTAAGATGAGGGGGAGACTGTGAATCACTTTACATTGTAATCAGGCTAGACAACTTTGGACTACATTTTTGCATTTTTTTTAAGTAAAGAGGGTGAATTCAGGCATGATACTACACGAATTTTGAGCTTGGAGAGGGGCCATTAGTTCGTGTGTTGGATAATAGATAGTGCGATGATTTCTCTACTTGTCTTTTGGAGAAAGACAGGTTGAAACAGCTTGAGAGATCTTTAACAATGGTTGGTCATACCCCTTTCACATTGTGTATTGTAGGCAGTACAATTCCATATTTCTAGTTTGTTTGAAATGTCAGAAGCAATCTTTTGTGCATAATTTTGCATAGGGGTGTCTTTCATTATGAAGCCGTTATGTAGGGGCTGTAGGAACCCCCCTTGGTACCTTCAAGGAAATCAGTCAGAAATATTTATGGTAACAATGCACTTTTTGTATACCATAAAAGGTTTTCATGTTGTTGTATGCTTATACACCGCATAATGTAGATAAAGAACAAATCCTCTTCAAGCCTATTGTTTTTGCCACTGTGGCTGGAAACAAACAGAAAAACTGAACCAAAGGATTAGAAAGACTAGATGTTTGTCCTCAAACAGAATCAACCACAAATCATCAGTTTTGATCACTTCAATTTAACTTTTAAGCAGTGTCAGATGTTTTGGACACCAATCAGCCTGTCAACCAGAAACAATCAATCACATGCTTAGATGGATCCTCTCATAACCATATAGTACCAAATACTAGGAAAGATCCATGATTTAAACATCCTTCTTAGCATCCCTCCACCCTTCCAGGCTATACTTCTCGTGAAAGCACTTTAATTGCGGATGTTCCTAGCAACTCCAAATCTGAAGAAAATGCTAAGGCCAAAAATCAGGATCCTCCAAGGTTCCATTAACAATCCATCTCCAGCAAGTCTAGAAGTTTACTAAAGAAGTTCCTAGTCCTAGTTCTATAATCAAAGAGGCACTTCTAAAGGTAACTGATGGTTTTAGTGATCTATATCTTGTTATTCTGCCTTTAACCCCCCTTTTCATGACTATGAATTCAATGCAGCCAATTTGCACATCTATCCATCTGGACAATATGCCAAAACTAAAAAGCGCCAAATAACAGACTTAAAACGAACAAGAATCATCATGCTAACAAATGAAAACTATAATGGCACATACACAGTCAAGAACAAAGCTACTGACATAGTCAAATCCTCATGGCATGGACACGACAATGCCAACCAATCAAGGGGAAATAGTTACATAGTAACTATTACTTGACAAATTCCGTGCAGAAATTTAGTCACCTCACTTCATGATAGACCCACAAATCAGATAAGTAAAAAGAATCATTGCAACGATAACCTCATATTTGAAGTAAGTAAAAAGCTAAAAATAAAAGACATTTTTTTTTCTGTTTTGCATTCAGTAACATATATTCATAGTGATACCCAAGTACCCCATATCCTTCATTAAGTCAATTCCGTTTCCTTCATTTGACCTGGATAGTGTAAAATTCCAGCAGGTTACAGAAACATCTGAATGGAACTGTTTCATGTGACCACAATCTCAAATGGTTATCTCTCATCTTATCCTAATTAGCACCCATTCAACAATTAAAATCCACTAAAGCTTTCATAGTTCATAATAAGGACTAATATAGCATTACATAGTTCCGAAGCAAGTATGTCTCAACCTTACAGAAGAATAAATTTAACATCTATTCTCCCTATACTTCATCAGACAAGCTATATGAGGCCAACAAAGGTGGGAATCCAGATAGTCTTTTTAGACTGACAATAAACTTCACAAAGAAAGACTCAATTTCTAGAAAGGCTGGAGAGAAATGGATAAATGGATGATAAGCATGTCACTCAAACAGAAGAGTTTCATAGGAATGGTTACTGAGAAAATAAAACCAATCCCCCCCTCTGCGGATCAAAAGAGAGAATCATTCATCTTGCACAAATAAATTCATGAATCTTCACACTGCTGCAAAAGAAGTACTCATATCTCAGCAGAAGAACAAATTCGTAATGGTCTTTCAACCAGATGAATAACTCACAAACAAAGCATACTAAAATAGGCAAAACACATATCCATAGCTCATTCTTATATCTAGTGCAGCAACCTTCTGTATTATTACAACCAACAACTCATAAAGAAACAATTTCTAAATGCCACATATACCCTTTTGTTTATGATAAATTTATCAAAGATACTATCATATTACCGTTGGAAGAGGAAAAAAGACTTGAGCACATAAAAAAAGTGGTGATTCACACCTAATTTTATCAACCATAAGCTATATTATTGTAATTCTACTACTTGCATAATAGAAAGCATCATAATTTGTTGTACTTACAACACACAAAATACAGGAATATGAGAACATCGAGCACATCAAAAACACTGCAGACCCTTCCAGAAAATATTTTATACCACCAAACGGGATCATCAAGCAAATCAAGAATAATGAAGCGGTAACGTGTATCTACATTGGCATCCGCCTGGCCAATCTAACGTTGCTCCAGAAGTAGATTGCAGAAAAAATGTTTCACTTCAGAATACAAGGAGCAAATGTAATTCTGAAGGCAACTACTGAACCTATTTAGTCTGTGGCTGTGCCCTAATCTCACTCCACACAATCAAAGTACTTTTCTCTGTGTATTATCAGCAGAGAAAAGACTGCATCAAGCTTCCGTATCACAATGAGAACAGTCAAATTTCTAAATTGTCCTTACTTTTGCCAATAAATATGTAGCAACATGGGCAAAACAGATCCCAATCGAGTCATCAGAGACTATCATTAGAGGTCAAGCTGATACATTAATTCAATACTTGATACACAGCTTGAAGTCAATCAAGAAAACTCAAGTGTAAGCTCTACTTGATAAATTACTCTTTATGGTTGAGCTCAACTCCACCTGAAGCAATTGTCTTAGTGATTATTCTAGCATAAGCTAGCTCACTATCGAACTCAAAATAGAGTTTCAATATAGAAAAACAATTACATGATATCCTGTTCCTTCTTCTCATGTTTATAAAACATAATTCTATCCGTCTTTTCATGCAAGTATCAGGCCTCAACGAATTTTGTAAGCCTGATACTCAAGCTATACAGTAAGTCAATTAGTCAAGTTCCAATGAGTAACTTGACTTGCTTGTAACCCCAAAAGGAAAAGAAAATAGAAATTTTTATTTAAAACAGGGGGTCTTGCAGGTGCCACATGACGATGAATCAGAGACGTGAAAAATATTTGACTTCCAAATTGAGTAATTTCAATATCAACTTAATAGAGATAATAAGATGAAACTATGAAAATTTCTGTAAATTAACAATGAGGCAAATCAACAAATGAAAAGTTAGCAAATGTTATCTTCTTCCCCAAATCAATCACATCCATGTACTCAATAATGAAACTATTCGTAATAATTAATTTGACTCATGACCCAATCCAATTTTGCTAGGTGAATATTTCTAATTCAGCAAACACACTCCACAACAGTAACATTGACAACAAACTCGAAAATATTACAGTACATACCGATATGCTCTCAATGTTCATTGGGATTTTTATCTGTTATCCTCCAGATTTAATTTCTAGGGGAGCATAGTATACTTCCAAACATGTCCATACAACCTTGAAAACTAATCCTAACAGATAAGTGAATACTGCTAGGTGTACTGAGACTAGATTGTGGAATTGGTATTAAGTGATGTTGCAGATGCTAATTGGGTATTCAATATGGCTCACTTGTTCAAATTCTCATTCACAATCCGATCACATCACTTGGTATAACAAATTTGTAATCTAGTCTTAGTTGACCAATCATTGCTCCAACGTTCTTCATTCAGCATGGCAAAAGTCAAATGGCATCACACAATCCATCACATTGTACATGCATAACATGGAGCATAAAGCAATTGAGCTCCTTGCTATTTCCTCCAACAAAAACTTGCTAGATCATTTCAAATTGCCGTGAAAGCATCATAGGGTTCTCTTTGCATACCATGCGTATTCGGAGAAATCAATATTAAAGACATCACAGACGGCAAAGAGGTTTCATCAGATCAAAGTCAAATGGCATCACACAATCCATCACATTGTATATGAACAACATGGAGCATAAAGCAATTGAGCTCCTTGCTATTTCCTCCAACAAAAACCTGCTAGATCATTTCAAATTGCCATGAAAGCATTATAGAGCTCTCTTTGCATACCATGCGTGATTGGAGAAATCAATACTAAAGACATCCAAAACGGCAAAGAGGTTTCATCAAATCAAATGCAAACTATGCCGCACTGTACACGAAAAGTGACTATAATTTTTTTCAATAACTAAAGACAAAGCACAGATACTAGGATGTCTAGCGAAAAGATCAGCACTCAACTATGGAAAAAATTCATAAGAGTAGAACTTTTGCCCAGAAGAGGCAAAGAAGTAAACCATTATCAGACTCCTCAATTAGGTAATCAAACCATGATGCATGAAATTTGAGCCATGAACTCATAAGACCCGCATTCAACCACCCAAACACATAAAGTTAAGGTCAGGTTGGTTCACTTCTCAATGAACCTCTTCACATAGCAATTTATAAGTCAAATACATATACATTCAGTGATATGACCTAATGCATGCAATTCAAGTCAGCTTCACTTCTCAATCTATGTCACCCATTCATTTGCTTAAGTAATATATGTGATCTGACCAAAAAATTCAAAGCAGGACCTATGTCGTGACAATTAAAAGCAGCATTATCTAATGGCAAAAGCACACGCTGCGCTTATTGCTACAAAAGAGATGCTCACATCTATAATCCATTAAGAGGGAAAAAATAGTATAACCCTCTATGATAGGTTTATGCTCTCTAAACTAAATATGTCAAGATGTCCAGTTCTTCCAATCCTCTGCCAAAGGAACTGCCACATCAAAACTAAGATAAACCATACACTGAGAAGACTGTAGACTACATTCTAAACCCACACAACACGGCACCTTCAAGAATCACCATGAACAATCGACAACGGTACTTAAAAGAACCAAAAAATCCTTAAGGCAATCAGCTTCAAACAATACATTACGAACAAAAGAAAGCCATATAGCGCGAGTATAGCGAACCTGCCACAAGCAACACATTTAAGGGACCCATTCTTCCCATTTTCGAGATAGTTCCTCCTGTGATAGCCATTCTCATTAATAACCTTCACGAAATGCAAAAATGCCTTCTTTAGCTTGGCCTGATCGACCTCTAGATGCTTCAAGCGCACACTCTCAAGAGCACTCCCATACTTTGAACCCCTGAATACCTCTCCGCTCGGACCAGCGAAGAACCCACCTGGACCGGGACCCGGATGCCTGTCCGGGTTCCCATATTGCAAAACTTGCTGCCTCTTTCTCGCCTTGTCTTGCTCATCGTCTATCCGGTCTCTCTCCTCTCCTTCTCCCCCAAACTTCCTCTTCGAGGGCCCCTCCGCGGGGCCCGGCCGGACCGAGTCCAGCCCAAGCGAGTTCCAGTAATCCTGCGGCTGCCTCCCCCGAACAAACAACTCCTCTCTGCCACCCCGGAAGGCATCAGGGCCCGGAATCCCGCCGAACTCCGGCCTCGGCCCTCCCGACAAGAACCGCCCCGCGGCGGCAGCTGTGGGGTCCTGCGGCCGCCGCCGCGGCGGCAGGGGCGGCGCGAAGTCCTGGTAATCCGGCGGGAGCGCGAAGTAGGACCGGACGCTGCCGTCGGCGAGCACGATGGTGCGGCGATCCAGCATGTGGAAGCCGTAGGACGGGGGAGGGGGCGGGCCGAGGGCCGCGGGGTCGGGGAGCGGGCGGGAGGGCGGGGTGCCCCGGGGAGGGGCGGGGCTGTTCGGTCCGGCGGGGGGCCGCGGGCGGGCGGGGCTCGGGGAGGGGCCCGTCCTGGGGGAGGGTTTGGCGGCGGCGGCGGTGGTCTTGGGGCTGGGTTTGGGGTCGGAGGAGCGAGGAGGGACGGAGGTGGCTTCAAACCGGGATTTGTTATTGGCGGCGGCGGCGGCGGCGGCGGCGTTGGAGCGGTGGGACGATGCGGTGGAGGAGGTGGCGTTGGAGGGCTTGTGGTGATATTTCGGGTGGTTCCGGCCACCGGCCATCGGAGCTCAAACTGAGCGAGAGCGAGAGAGAGAGAGAGAGAGAGAGGGAGTGAAGGGAAGAGGACGATAGTTGAATAACCGAATGTTACGATTTCAGTATAAAGGCTGCCTTGGTATATCATGTTTTTAAAAAGGTTATATAGTATCATATATCTCTAGAGATGATTTGATATGTGCAATGACCATAGTCATGGAAAAATCAAATTTTCATGCCCCATGCGTCCAGCATTTTGACGAAATTCGACGAATTTTTCTAAACTAAAAGTGGGGCTGGAGTTGCCCTTAAGACGATCTTTTTGATTCGATGGTTTGAGTTTGTTTAATTATATTTTTTTATCAATCGTCCGTGCTTCACTATAAAATCATAAAAACAAAATGAGATAGCTTTGGAATATTATTGTGTCGACATGTTGGGTCATCAAGATTAAGAATGTCAAGGGGCTATAATGTTAGCTCATCAAGTTTTCCACAGCTTGGATTCTCCCTCTCTATCATTCCATGGCTCATTTGAGAGGAAAATTCTAAAAAGTTCTAAATTTATCGCATTTGAAGAAAATATTAAGTAAGTTAGTCTTATCACGTAAGCGGTAAGATACTTCATTTATTAATCGTCATGTGTCCGAGTGGGACTCACGTTTCAAATTTTTTCTCTTCATCTCTCTTCCTTCTCCTTCTCCTTCTCTCTCGCCTCATCCTCCTCCTATCTGTTTCTTCTTCTTCTTCTCAGCGCAGGAAATGTAAGCCACGAGGGTTGAGCCCCTGCCAAATCCAACAAGAGCGGCCCTCGCTTGTGGCCGATCGCCAGCCCTGGCAAGAGAAAATAAGGGAAAATGAAAAAAAGAGAGGAAAAAACGGTAAAGAAGACAGAGATTAACCGGTGGGGGCCACTTGGACATATGGCGAGCTTTGAATAGAGTGTCTTACCGCCTACATGGTAAGAATGGCTTGCTTAATATTTTCTCATTACATTTGTGCTAATTCAGTCCTAAACGTTTCAATTGTATCAATTTAATTCTAAATATTTTTCACAATTTGTCAATTGAGTACTTTCGGCCAATTTTCACTAAAAATCATTGACATGAACGCCGATCGAACTATATGGCATAAACTATTTTTATAATTTTTTTTTAAAAATAGAGCTTTTTATTTTCCTTTTTTCATTTCTTTATTTTCCTTTCATTTTGGTTGACGAGGATGCAACGAGCCCTTGTCAGCTGATGGCAAGGACCACCTCGCTGGCGGCCGACGAGGCAACAAAGGACCTAGGTGAGGCGCGGCCGGTGGGGCTTGAAAGGTCCTTGGAAAAAAATATAAAATTTTATTAAAAAAAATTCAAAATATATTATTAAATGCCTACGTCAGTGCCGACTATGTCATGTAAGATGTTTGATGTCCACATCAGCAATTTTCGATCAAAATTGATCTGATAACTCAATTGATAAAATGTTATACAACTAAATTTGTATAATTAAAATATTTGAAACTGAATTAGCACAATTGTGCGCCGATTGCAATAAATTTAGGACTTTTTTGGTAACTTCACCCACATTTGAGACAATAAACAACTACAAAACTAGCCGAAGGTATATCTATCAGATGCCATTTTTTTACAAAAGAAGATCCAAAGAGGTCGAAGGGCTTGAACAAGACTTTCGCATAAAACGCTCTCCGTCAAACGCTCTGACTCACAAACTCGATCATTGATCTAAGGAGGAGGAAGATAACCTCATCCGCATCACAAAATGGATCAAAAAGAATTGACTCTTCTTGGTTAATTCAAGAAACCCCCGCAGAGCTTCTTCCAAAAGGAAACAAATCCTGACTATGCTCGGCTTTGTTTGGGAGGGGGGGAGGGCTAGAAAAGGAGAGGTGCCTGTGCAGAAGTGTGGAAAACTTGAATTTAATGTGAGAGTGAATCTGAGGGAAACTTCAAAATGTTCTCCTGTCAAAACCGAGCAGTTTCCGACGGCAAACTCAGTGTAACGACCAATTTCAAAATCCAACATACAGTGAATAATTTACCTCACAATTAGCATACACTTTGTGCACGAGATCATCCACGACTCGTGCAATTGGTAGTACAGACAGAGACCAACTGTGTTTCTCCATGGCTTTTACTGGAGGACACTCAAAAGCTGACAATGACGACCGTAGATGTCTCGTTCTTGCTTCGTGTTTCTGTTGCTTCAGCAGTACATTGAGAACTCTTGACAATGCCAATCTATTAAACAATACTTGCTTCCTTATGGGCTACCTAAATCCAGGTTCAGTTCAATGAAAGGATCGTCCTCATCAAGTACGTGATAGCACCCCTTTTGAACTGCAAAATTGAATTCCATGTAGTTATGAGCATTGCACAAGTAATGGCACCAGTCAATCAGCAGATTATATAATCAAATTGTCTCTATGCAACATGGCAACTCGTCATACAGATGACAAAATCTCCCTGAGCTGCACAACTAGCCTATATTGCCTGGACTCACACACCCGCATCAAATATGGACAGACATCTGAGTGTCTGACTTGTCTAACCTCAAAATCTGGGATATGAGGACTCGGCCAAAAAGGATGTGAAAATTGGACATGGGTATTGGGACTGATCAACCTTTCAAGTCGATCATACATTACCTAGATAGCTGATTAGTGATTAGAATTAAACTCTCATCACAAGCTAATGAAAAATTCTGGTCCCATCCAAAAAGGATTTTTTCGGGTAAAAAAGGGGCCAAAAGAAGATGATGCTGGATGGAAGTGAAAGAAATGGTCATGTAAGATTGTTTCTGTGGTAGGTGGGAATGCCTCACCCATCCAATTACTGAATCTACTGATTTCATTCATGTCATATGTCCCAGGAAGATTTTCCAGACTTCCAAAACCTGCCCAATATGCATCTGTGAATTTGGATAATTTTCAAGGATGTTCTTTATATACATTAAGATTGTGTGCATTTCAGAGAGCAACTTAAGCCTGATGTGATAAATGATGCCTTTGTTGTGTGAACAAACAGAGACCACACTTCGCAAAGCTAGAAGTCACTTTGAGTGAAAAGCAGGTAACAAATGCTATTATTGACAAAACACATAATCTCCCTAAAAAAACAGAAGCATCTCAAAATGTTCAACAGGACTAAATATAATAGAGAAATGTCAAGCTAGTCATTCAATATTGGAAAGAACAACTAAGATTCATGGAAAAGCTACTGGAATTACAAGTTTTCTAGGGAGAAGCTAACTTCTAGCAGAAAGTCAAAGTGGTCAAAAATTGAGCAAAATTTTATTATATGCATTTCCAGAACCCACAGGTAATGTTATATTAAGCAATTCATCAGCTAAATGCTAATATATCATAAACATTCAATACCAATCTCAATCATAAGGCCACATGTGTCTCTACAAAAGGCTGGAGTCTACTTGATTGATTCATCAAAAGGGCTATGTGGGTGGGACCAAAGATAGTGATGAAAGAAGACATTTTGAACAGGCTCCAGAAGTGATAAACTGATTCTTATAAAAAAGAGAATTCTACAAAACACTCGAACACTCCCTTTCCTGCGATAGCTTCAAAAAAAATTCCTACAAACAAAACTTGCATTGATGAACATAAAGCATTTGGAAAGGCACAAAAATATGGGCACCAAAACATGATACCTTGGAATAGTCCCTTGGCGCCGTAAGTCATATTCTGTAGCTTGTCGAAGAGCCCTTCCAAAGGCTTTAAACGTTGCCTCAATAATATGGTGCGAGTCTTTTCCAACTAGCTGCCCTCAAACATTGAAACAATATTTCAGAACGAGCAAGCAACAAAAAAAATTATAGAACTATCTTGACTATCATGAGAAAGTAGACATAACTAGAGAAAATGCTGGTTCAACTCTGTTTTACACACTAGTACAGTAAATAAAGGATCACAATGAGGACAAACAACAATTACCTGCCTAATGTGAAGAGTCATGCTAGAAGTATTCACCAAAGACCGGAAAAAGTGCTCCACCAACTAATACAATAGAAAATTCGATCAGAACTCATTGAAATTCAGCACTATACATCCTACATGCATAACGAAAAGAGTAAGAAGAAATTATATTAGATGCTGCATGAATTCATACATCCAGAATCCTGGGAAGTAAAATCAGAGATACATGCATACTGCAAACACAATTCCAACAAGTAAAATACTAGAATACCTGAGTGTCATACGTTCCAACCCTCTGTGTTGGTATTTGCAAATCAAAACTTAAATGCGGCCGGCCAGATAAATCCTGAACCAAATGACATGGATTATATACATATTCAGCATGAAAGATAGAGTACATCACTAAAGGAATTGAATCGATAAACATCTAGAGATGTGAGATTCTAGGCATGACCTTACAGTCAGCCAAGCTATATTATTATCTAGGAAAGTTTTAGAGATAAAAGAAAGCTGTCAGCATATGAATTAGTGTAGTGTAGAGAATCCATGGTTGTTGAACCCAAAACCCAGTCTCATATCTTGGACCCATAATCTCCTAGAATTTAAAACCAAAGAAAGAATTAGCATCATTGGTTAGGATCTTTGGAGGTTTTTAACCTGATTAAATACAGTGTAAGAGAAAAATACTTAAGCTCCTCATGAATTAAATCAAACAGTAGGGATTTCTATGCGTTTCTATTATATAATATACTCCAAATGTAAGAGCAATATAGTTTTCAATTTCTCATTCTTTAAAAGATCGAGTTTGATCATAACTTAAGTTTATCATATTTAACTCTTTTGATTATTGAGCCAAGATGATCTAGCTCAAGCACAGAGAACACTTTATCAAGTGTAGATTGAGCTAAAAAGCAAGCTCAATCAAAATCAAGTAAACTACTTACATTATAATTCAGTTGAGTTCAAGATATAAACTTTGTCAACTTGACTCAAATATACTTTTATGTCATGTCCATTTCCCCTTCCTTTGACACAACTACAAGGCCCCATGAAAAGGTTTTATGGGGTGATTCGTAAATGATTATATAAACTACTTAGTTGAGAAGCAATTTCGGTGTAGGTGGCTTGAATTTGAGGTTCCTCTAGGTCATCAATCTTCCGAAAAAAAAGCCTGAGGTGTTTAGGACTGATTAGTACAGCTTCAAATTTCAAGCCCGTCCTAGCTTCATCTGATTCGGCATTTATTTGTTTCTCATCTCATTCTCAGTACTGCCATTACTAAAAGAAACAAATCAGCTGCATCTACCAAAGAATCTTAACGGCCTAGCAATCAGTTGATAGTGAACTAGCTTTGTAAGCGAATTTCCTTCCTAAGTCGAATGGTGTGGTTAGTTGTCGCCAAAAAATTGCTTAAAGACTCAAAAGTGATTGTACAGACACCAGTGCAACATGAATGAGCGCTTCATCTAGAGGAGCTGAAAAGTCACCAAACCGGTGTATCCCTTTTCTCTCACCAAGCGCTTGCAGAAAGGCCAACAAACCAGAAAAAAAAAAAAAAGAGCTTTAGCAGAATCAGTGGAAACATGCGAATAGTTGGATTTTGCAATAAAAATTATATTCCAGTTTTTACAAGTCAAGTCAGAGGGAAATGTCATATATCATATATATAAAGTACCACCTCCATTAGAAGATTCTTCTTCAGCAACAATAGAGCTAACCATGGAATGAAAGTCTTGAAAAGGAGCAAATACTCACTGTTCCGATGGCAAGAGCAACATCTTCATTCTTGTGATGATCGTCAATGTGAATGTCACCAGTTGCCCTTACATGTACATCGAACAGCCCATGCGAAGCAAGTTGCTGATACAAACAGACATGCATTTTCAGTGCACATAAGTTCTAGCAACAGACACGGACCATTTCAGGACTCGGGACTATAACTGAAACCAACCCTAAAACTTAGCTCAACCGATCCAACTCGGAAGGCTAACACTGCTATGAGCAATAGCACTATAGTTACAGTCAGTGCATGACTAACTCTCTCTCAACGAGCCAAAGTATTGAAATGCGCACCAGATGAATCAAAAGACAACAAATCAAGTGCGCGAAGAAGCTATCCCGATATAAGTTGTCACTCTCCCAACTCTTGCATTGAAAAGCAGAAACAAAGCTAAAGCCGACCGCATATGCTACTCACATCCAACATGTGATCGAGAAAGGGAATGCCGGTGCTGCTATCGGCAACCCCGGTCCCGTCCAGATTGATCTTCACGGGCACATTCGTCTCCTTCGTAACCCTCTTCACCTCCCCAATCCGACCACCCGAGCACAAACAGCACCGGACAGTACACACACACACCATCAAACCAAAGCGCTCGAATCAAACTCGAATCCGACAACCGAGACACTTCGTGTAACATACCGGTGCCGATCGCCGGCGATGCCGGTACAGGAGCCCCGTTGTTCTGGAGAGCAGCGAAACGCCAGCCGACCGGGACTCCGAGCGGGAGAGTCTCCCATGAAGCCGCGGCTCTTGCTGCCGGTGGAGAAGAGGCGGATCCGAGAGGCGCTGCGGGAGAGGCTCGCCGGAGAAACCCTAGCGACGGCCTTCGATAGCTGAGCCGAGGGAGTGGGATTGCAGGCGAGGTGAGAAGGGAGAGAGAGCTCCATCCGTGCTGGCGTTCGCACGCGTAGAGCCGGAGAAAATCGGCTTCCGATGGCCAGAAGAGCGAAACGACAGGGGAAAGAGCTAAAACGGCGCCGTTTTTGGGTAGGAAGGGATTCGCCTCAAATTTGGGACGGAGAAAGATATTTTGGGCCTTGGCATTGAGTTGGAAATGTATGGGCCGAGTGTTGGCAGAAAACATGGGCCGACTCGGCCCATTAAAGATGAAAATAGTGATTCAAAATGCAAGTCCATCACTGTCCATCTTGTTCAAAACTCATCCTTGACCTCTAATTTCTTAGATTTACGCTTTGGTTCCGTTTATTTTGCGAAAAACGAATGATTTAAAAAAATATATATTTTTTAAAATGATCGCTTGAAATAAACAGTCGATTGGAAAATATTTTCATCGTCGACAACAATTTATATCCAAATGTTTTCGTAAACGATGAGAATGTTTTTCGTTCATTCTTTATGTATCAGTGATACAAGCAGCCTTGAATCATCAAGTTTCAAAGAAGAAAAATTCAGTTTGTACCATTTATTTCTAAAGTTCTTAGACGTGGTTGTGTTGATTGGTGTGGTGGTGGCTTTTTGACACCTTAACATACGTAGCGTAAATGCTGTTGGGCTTTTTGTATTTTTGTTGCAGCGGTTGGGCTATTGGCTACTTAAGTTTCCTTCTTTTGTTGTTGTTTGGAGCGAGTGATAATCCCATGATAGGAAATCATCAAAAGCGCACCTCACTTTCGGCGCAATGATTACTTACGCACCTTTAGTTTTTGCGAACGCCATTCACGTACATCTAAGCAAAACCCCATATCAAAAAAGACAAGATCGCCTCCCCTTGCAAATTCATTTTATCGTCTTGCTTGAAGTTTTGGATGGTTTTGGTTTTGAATGTTTGGGCGGGATGTGAGAATTCAGGACTGAGGATCGGTATATTTGAAAAGACAATGACCTTTTTCTTAAGTAAATTATATACAAGGACAAGGATTCTTGAAGTGAACGTGCAAAAGTGTTCTCAAAAGGCAAAACTCAAGTATGTATTTGATATTTTCGAAAGCAAGAGACGTACAATCATTGAATAAGCAATTGGCCGTCACTTGATCCTATTGGCACTAAAACACGAAACAAACGTGAGGGTTCCGTTCATTTTAGTGCTCCGCGTTTGAAGCTTTTGTGTTTGTCGTGTCATCATTGTTGTTTGCTTTGCCCCGGTGTTTTAGATGAGCGTATCAATGTGTCGATTTGGATAGGATACATCTAACCAAAAAGCTTGCTTAGAACTTTTATCTCGGGCTTCCTCTATATTCACATCTATATAAGTAACACGAACCACCTCTCTAATAGCCACGACGCATATTTCTAGTATTCGTATTTTTCAAATTGATCATACAAATTTGTTCTCTCTGAAAAACCATCACAAGTGCTATATATTCCCATGAAAAGTAAACAATTAGAAAGCTAAAAGCACCACAATTAGCGGACTTTAAGGAATTGTTAGCTTCCGCGAAATTGGTTTCTTAAGGGTGTTGTCCGACATGTCCTTCACTTTCAACTTTCCAATTTTTTCTTAATTTAGAAAATATCAAGCCATATCTTTTTTATAATATTAAACATCCCAAGTCTTCACAGATATAAAGATATTGATGTCTAAAAGCACAAGTTTACTTATGATAATTTTAAAATTTTTAAAAGCATTTTTTACTTTATCGGAAATTTAATTACAAGATTTCGATACTTTTTCGGGTAACTATAAGACCAGTCAAATAAGTTATTGTCCAGTCTACGCCCTACCTTTACAGTAAATACATCGGATTTGGGAGAATTATCAAAACAGTTCTAAATCTATTGTAATTGTGCCAATTCAATCAATTTAGCCAATTTTGGCTAGTCGACGCTGACATGAGCGCCGGCCGTCTTACGTGACGTAAGCGTCTTACGTGGCACGGTTGGTGCTGACGTAGACAATTTTTAGTAATTTTTCGAATTACTTATTTATTTATTTTTTTTTTCTTTCTCTTTTTTTTCCCTCCCTTCATCTTCAACCTCTAGCCGATCGCTGAAACTCACCGAATTCTCCAAAATTGGCCGTATGGACTGAACTGGCACAAATGAAAAATATTTAGGGCTCAATTGGCACTATTACAATAGATTTATGATTGTTTTGTTAATTTTTCAAGTCAGATTTCAGTGCGATCTACCTTGTGATTATTATTATTATTATTATTATTATTATTATGGCTTTCTTTGGGTTAGAACGGAAGCTTATTGCACGAATTCATTGCATCTAAGAAGTGTTGCGTGCGCCTCTGTCATGATGTAACGGGATCATGGTACACTTTTTAGGAGCAGGAAAGATTTGTCTTTCCGTTCGAATTGAAAAACTGGAAAAGTGGGCATTATTATATGGTTCGCATGCAACGTCCGTACGTGAGGGTCAGCAATCAGCAGCCCTCTCTTCGCTCTCTTTTTCTCGCCATCCATCGCATGCCCGTCCCTCGCGCGTGGTAGCTGTCATGGGGGTGGGGTTAGTTAAATAATTGAAGATTTGCTTTTAATAAAGTGATTAGTGATCGATCATTGCCTTTCTTAAAGCAAAGGTTGGGTTACGTGTGTCGTCTGCCGATTTAAAGCAAAGATTGGGTTTACTTCTAAATTTTACGATAGATAAATTTTATATTACAACAGCATATAAATTAGAGATGATCGATTTTTGAAAGGGCAGATTCCCATTATGAAATCGGGAACCAAACTAGAGAGGCTGATTCCCAGTTTATGGAATCGAGAACTGGCCCACTGGTCTTGGAATTGGGAATCGGACCGGTTTGTGAAGGATTAAGGCTTTTTACAAATTTATAAGGAATTAAAAAAAAAGTCGATCTGATTTGGATGGACGGTTCCACACATGAAACTGGGAATAGAACCGAAAATCACCGATTCCACTTTTTTGGAACAGGGAACCGAATTAGTGCCCTCAGGAACCGCCCAGAACTGGCCGATTTGGCCTGGTCCGTTTCTTTTGCTCATCCCTAATATAAATATCAATATTTTTTTTAAAAATTTTGATAATATTTCACATTTTGGCAGGAGAGCAAATACGTAGTTCTTGAAATTCCGATAGAGTTGCGGCACCGCCACAAAGCCCATCTTCCTGGTGACGATGATCCTTAATTTGCTCGAGCCGTGATGGCATTGCCATTTGCTTGAGTTGGCGTTGTTTATGTGGGATTGATCTTGTCTACGGTATAATATTTTTGCTAATTACATATGTTTACTACCTGCATAAGTGGGAGTTAGCGCAAAAAAAGATAAAAATCAGCACCAACCCTTTACTATGGCGATGCAGTACGCCACTCCCACTGTCCATTTTCGCCTAGGCAAAAACTATAGAATGATATGTTGCTAAATTCAGGAAGACTATGGTTATGTCATCGCGACTCGGATAGAATTTGTAGAGCACAACTCGAACCGTCCGATCTGGTAAATCCTAAACCTCTCGACCCTCCTCGGGGTCGGGAAGTTTTCAATTTTCGGGATCACGTCGCGGGATCGAGGCATTTTCTTTTCAAATTTTTAGAGGGTTCCAATCCGAGATCTGTTTAGTCATCGTGGGGGAACGAGATTGTCGAAGCTCTTGCCCTTTGTGCAGATTGAAAGTGCCGAAAGAAAGGGTGCAACTTTCACCAGTTGCAGCAAACTCGTGTTTTTGCCTCGTAGCTGCGTAGAGGACATGGAAATGGTGGGTCTCTCACCGCAATCAAACAAAGCACTCCCAAATCTTCCACGACATGACCAGAACCACACGTACACGGTAGGCCACACACGCCTTTATTGGCACGATATCGATCGTCTTTCTTTTTTTTTTTTTTTTTTTTGGTCAGAAGAAAAGACTGATCATTGATATCTAATAAAGATAGAACCCACTTTTAGGGTCTTAAAACAAAGCAGATCTCTAAGAATCTGAGGAGGATGAGTCAATCAGTATTCAGTGAGTGCTTTTTTACTATGTGTCATCTTTCTTCTTTTCTCTTTGGTTGTTTACTGCATAATCTTTTGACAAATCCGACGCCTTCCCACGTTTGAATTCAACGCTAGGGCATCAACTCAAGGCCGGAAATGGTTCCGTACAAAGTACAAACAGTAGGGCAAGCAGATAATCATTCAGTCGTGTCATCAGCTCATGGAGGTCTTCGATTTTTAAAGGGGAATGACACGAATGATCTATGACCATTGCTCTTTTGCCTAATATAATATGTTGATCTTGAATTTTTAATTTATTTAATATAGTTCATAAATTTTGATATGTTGTTTCTAAATTTTGATTCAATATGCAATGTCTCTGAACTTTTGCATTAAAAGCAAGCCGTGTCGGTGGACAAAATTGTTTTTGGTCGCGCTTTCCCTTAATTGAAAAGTATGAAACCACCTATCATCGGCCAACTCTTCAAAACAAAAAGAACTTCCCTAGTCATGACTTCACGCTACTTATTTCCCAATGCAAAACGTATTGGATTTAGGCACTAATTTGTTTAATGTCGTTCCTAAAAATTTAGGGATCACGTTAAAGGTTTAGAAACGACATTACACGATATATATTTAGGATCGACATATCATGTTGCATATTGGATCAGGGTAGACGAATCATTCGTGTCATTTCCCTTTTAAAAATTTCAAATCATCCGTGAGCTGATGGCACGACTAAAATGATTTTCTGCTTGCCCTACTGTTTGTACTTTGTACGGAACCTTTCCAGCCTTGAGTTGAATTCAGACGTGGGAAGGCGTTGGATTTGTCCAAGATTATGCATTAAACAACCAAAGAAAAAGGAAGAAAGACGATCGATATCGTGCCAATAAAAGGCGGGCGTGGCCTACCGTCTACGTGTGGTTATGGTCTATGGTCATGTCATGGGTAGTGTTTTGTTTGATTGCGGTGACCCACCCCACCATTTCCAGGTCTTCTATGCAGCTACGAGGCAAACATGAGTTTCCTGCAACGAGTTAAAGTAACACCTTTTCACCTTTTCAGCCCTTCAATTTGCTCAAAGGGCAAGAGCTTTGACAGTCTCACTCCCCATGACAATTCTCAGGCACATCGGTACATTCGTCTCGAAACTAGAGACTGGTTTGGTAAGTTTTCTGGCAACAGTTTCAGACAGCTTTTCAACCTCTTTATAGGATCAACTGAATAAATTTCAGTGACCTCGGATCATATGATATTTCTTTACCCAAGTTTTTATGTCTATGAATACATGTGCATCTATCAAGTGGGGAAACAAGGAATTGTGATCTTATACACCAGCTCTGCATTCGTTTTCTTACATTTGGAGCAAGCAACGATACTAGTCAGTAAGCATGAGCCTCTAGGACTGAGGTCTGGCACACGTGTGAAAGGATGAATCAAGAAAGACCCTTCTCTTTATTCAAACTACTATGTATATCCTGTAGGACCTGTACCCCATTATAGTGTTAAAATCAAGCTGGCAACTTGGGGGGAGCAGAAAGTCACATGTTATGTGGGTTATGACCACGATGAACCCATTGAATTGGTATTATTTTTTCTGGTACTGGCTTTTTCTGGACCACCCTCAGGCCTAACTGGTACTTGCAATATCGATTTCGCCTTCTAAAGCACAGAGAAGAGAAGAGAAGAGAAAAGAAGAGAGAAGATAAAATGGAGGATAAGTGTGTGGTCCTTAGCGAAAAGCAAGAGAGACAGTGGACACAAAAGTGTCAACTTACTGGGAGGACTTCGAGGAAAGGTCAGGAGAGACGGGACGTTTCTGTTCAAGCTGTGACCCCCATTTGCTTTTCTGTGACAATCTGGTTGGTAGTCATGTGTTGTCTTGATTCTCATTGGCGAGGGAAAAAGAGATTGACAAAGCAAAGCAAGAGAACAATAATACAGTCCAAAGAATGTGAAGTTTAGGCAGGAGTTTGGCAAATGCCAGCTTCAACACTCATTCAGTGGATTAGGTTGGAGGGAAAATTTGCAAAATGTTTTTGGGGTAACAGGGTTAATTCCAAAAAACAAGGTTAAATTTTAGATCGAGTGACAATTCTGGTTCAAACTTTTTTTGTCACATAAAAAATCACCAATTTTCACCTTGATCCCAAATCTGACTCCCCATTGACTTTCTGTCTGAAGTCATTCTTGTTTGAGAAAAAAGGTTATGGTGGTGAGCTTGACGAATCTTGTCCATGGCGTCTGTCGACGGGCGGTGGTCTACAGCTTCAAATTACGTCTGGCCAAAGAGATTCAATCTAGAGATATTTTTGGCTTGACGGTGAAGTGAAGGAAATGAACAGTTTTACCGTTATTTTTCAAGTTATGGCTCAGAAAATAAGACAATAAATAATACTTTAAATCTCCACCTTCGCAGGGGGTAAGGGTGGGGCCGCGTAGTTTAAGATGTGGATTTCGTCGCCCACGCCCTGCAAGAGGTGGGGCGCAAGTCTGAGTATGTATCGTGAGTGAGAGATAGAATAGGACCGACCAAAAAAAAAAATCCAGTCAGCAGGTCGCGTGGATTTATGGCTAAGGTGGAATAGTCAAGTTGGATATAAATGGTTCTAAGTCAATAGATGCCAAATTTGGAATTTAAGTGAAAATTGATGCATTTTTACGAGACAAAAAATAGTTGAGGCCGAAATTATCACTCAACCTAAAGTTGGTGCTCTTTTTAGGAATTAGGCCTAGGGTAACATTAGTGGGTAATGTGGATTAACTCAGGGCTTAGCATTCATCCAAGTTAGATATCCCACTTGAAGAGAAAAAGCTTTGTAATATACAATCTGCAGTCGAGATAATTAGAACCCGTGTTGCGCTCCTAATTAAAGATGCTCATCTAATGCCCCCTTACACGGTCGACACTGAGTTTGTAGATATAATCTGCAGAATTCTCAGAAATCTATCGCGTCAACTGGAAGAGACGTCGCCCTGTGAAGTGGTTGCGGAAGCAATGCGCCTGAATAGAAACTCTTGGCAGTGATCATCTGCTCGGGGCTGTATGACCCACTCGCAGCCTCACGGCACTTGTCTGCTACATTGGCACGTCTCTTCTCAGAATTAACTGGAGCGAGACGAGGGTGACGGTTTTCAGATGAAAATTCCTTTAGGAGATGTCCGTTTGTTTCGGTATCAGATTCGGGTGACGGAAACGGTGGAAGAACCCCATTAAGTCTATCTTTCCTCGGTACTGCGCTATTGTAATTTGCACTAGGACTCGAGCACTTAGATTGGACCCCTAACTGTTTGTCTCTAAGCTCCCTCAACTGCATTTGGTACTTGGCCTTGAGCCATCTCAGTTCTTGCCTTATCTCATTCTCATAATCGTCTGAAAGAGCTTCCGAAGGATTCGCCGAACATGAGCTCCTTTCATTCAACTTACTCTCATTGTCCATAGTGATGATCCTCTCTTCGTTTGGAGATTCGGATCCAGTAAAAGCCTCGTGTGCTTCGTCGCAATGGATATCCCTCGATTCTTGCGAATTTGACTCCGGAACTTCGCGCTGAGCCCAAATGTCAGTGTGGTGGACTCCATAGCACTGGCTTGATGGGTCAGGCCCGGCTTTGGAACCTTCAACTTGGTATGTGATTTCTTCAAAACGACCGTGCACAGCAGCACCTCCGTGCTTGGAACACTGAAGAACTTGCAAGTTATGGGTTGAAGATGCATAATCCAACAGCGTGCCATTTGAAGCACAAGTGTGACATATGCTTGCATTTTGGTGTTGAGAACTTTCCTCCACCGCAATTTCCCTATTCCATTCAGGGACTAATGTTGCGATTTCCCCATTGATCATGTCGGCTATTCTATTGACATCTTGGTCAGTAATGTCGAGTTCAGCGACCATTTCACTCGCCACACTCAATGCAGTGTCAGTCTCCAAATCGAATGGAAAGTATATGTTTCGAATGCGTCCTGTACGGGAGAATTTAGCGCTCAAAGTTCAGACTCAGCAACCGGTCTTGATCATAGGAAAATTGAGTAAAAGCAAGACTTAAGAGAAACCGCTGACCTTCCTTATCTGCAATTCGGAGCCTCAAGAAAATTCCGTCATCTTCTCGTCTCCTCCCTTTAATGGTAATGTCGACGTCATCCAGATACTCATCCTCTTGACAGGTGAATAGATCGATCTCGCTAGATTCAAACTCAAGCTCATGGTACTCCAACTTGCATTCGTGTTCATAACCAAGATAATTAGAGCATGCATCGATCAGTGAACTGGTACTCTGACAATTGCTATAAAATGGTTGTCTTACGAGAGGACCTGCTTCATCGCAGTCGCCATGGTAATCCAATTGCCTCAAATCATAACAGTAACCGTCAATCTGAAGAAATGGGTCCATCAATAGCTCCTTAGCCGGTAGCCTAAGAGACACAGTTGCCAAGCATTTCTCCACAAATTCTCGCACCTCGGGATCTTTAACTTTGTACAAAGCCTCCGGTTTTTTGCCCTATATCAAAGATACAGTCACAAGAAGAAGTGCAGAAATTAACTTTCATCTACTCTGAAAGAAAAGAGCGAAATCCATACAGAAATAACTTTCTTGTAGATCTGAGCAGGATGTGTGCACTCGCTGTATGGGTATTCGAAAGTCACCATCTCTAATATGCACATCCCAAAGGAATAAATGTCGACTAACTCATTATATTCCTCCTCATAAACCTCTGGAGCCATGAACTCCGGCGTTCCTGATCCATATCATCGAAAGATAATTTTTTTACATCAATCACTTTGCGACTATCAAAATCTAACATCAAACAAGAGACTGACTATACGTTAAACTTCCAGAGGTCGCGAATTTACCAACACAGCGAGCAGCATGGGATTTCCTCAGAATCGCGGCGAGCCCGAGATCGCCAATCTTGACCTCTCCTTGGTTGCCATTGATAAAGATGTTGTCACACTTGAGATCTCTATGGATCACAGGCGGGTCATGGCTATGGAGGTAAAGCAACCCTTTCAAAATCTGCCTACACCAATGTTTCACGGCTCTAATGTTGACCCTCCTGTGTTTTAGCCTATATCTACAAAGAAACAACAATAATATGAAATTCAAAGAAAAGAGCACTAATCAGCTAATCAACAATCATTCAACTCAAAATACTACGTCAAAATGCATCAATCACTGAGATAAGGAAAGAAAATTAAGTGGATTTTATTTTGGTGATGCTTACTGTCTGAGAGTGCCAGAGGTGAACATTTCAGTGACAAAATTGATGTTCCTGTTGGTGGTATCAACCCAAGAAGTGTAGAACTTCATTATGTTCTCATGCTTCAATGTCTTGAGCAGGTGGATTTCACAGTACAGCCTTTCAAGATCTTCAGGTCTCTGCAGGAAATCATAGAGCTTCACTTGATTCCATGCCACTTCAATCCCTTCATACTCATCAAATGCTCTGTAACTACAACAACCCAAAAATCATAAAGAAGAAATTGGATTAATCTTGTGATCATTTCCAACAAAGAGGGCCTAAAAAGACTTGAATTTGAGAAGAGAATCTCATACACTGTCTTGGAAGCTCCTTTGCCAAGAATTTCATTGTACTGCAACAGAAAGAAAAGCAACCATGAAACTAAACATGAACTAGACAATATCATATGTTTAAATAAATTAGAGAAAGATATCAAATGTAAAGAGATTGAGGCATGAGGGCATGAAGATTACTCTTCCATATCTTCCAGTAGGATCGACCTCCACGAACTCAGAGAAGTCTGGTTCAACGTCCGAAAAACCACTCATTCCTTCTTCTTCGCTTCCTCTTCTTCAGAATTCTTGGCCCCGTGTCAGCTACTGTCTTCCTCTTCGAGGTGAGTGACAGCAAAAGGAGCCAGCCAACACAGGTCTCGCACGATATTAATAGTACCCAGAAAGTTCAAAATGACAAAGAAAATGATTTCTTCATAAATTTGTGAAGGGGAAGAACAGAGAGAGGGAGAGAGAGAGAGAGAGAGAAAGGGGTGGAGACAGAGAGAGAGAGAGAGAGAGAGAGAGAGAGAGGCCTCGGTTAGTTCATCTAAAGAGGACAAGGCTATTTGCCAACTAACCAGAGACAACGAGGCGGAAGATTTCACAATTTCTAAGCAACCAAAGAGAAAATCAAAATAACCAATAAGAGAAAATAAAGAAAGAAACGGGCAAAGATTTCGCAAGGCCTGCACTGCACACTGTCCCAACACCACAAAGGAACACAACCTGACAAAACAGCTTTCTCTTTCACTCGTCTGCGCTCTGTGCTTTGCTTTCTATCGCATCACGAGCCGTAAGTAAAATAATGAAAAGCTCGAAAACCACGAGACATGCAAAGACAGAAGAAGCTCCTCCTCTCTCTCTCTCTCTCTCTCTCCAACATCTTGCAAGCAAAGGGCCAACCAAATTTAAATTATTCCTATTTTGGATAATATTGAGCAAGTGGCTTTGCTTGGGGATGAGAGGTGTATGTTGTTCTTTTGGGAAGATAGGCTTCCTGTTTTTTAAAATCAAGAAAACTAACATGGTGGAATTCTTTGATGTGTTGAATATGGTGGGTCTGGTGGAATCTCATGAATATAATAAATAAAAAGGAGCTTGGCAAAAGCAAGGAGAGAAATTTAAATGGTGAAAGAACAGTGGGATTTGAATTTTTAATTTGACTTTCATATTCTTGCTCATGGATGCGCATCTAACGTTATTGAGATTTTCAGGAATTTTATGTACTTAGAAGGACTTCGATTACTTGGAAGAGGACTCCATCTGGATTGGACTTCTAGGTTTCGTGTCAAACTAATGACATACCACATGCAACTAATTCAACTATACTTTTCTTTTGTTTGAAACTTGATTTACATCAATATAAATATTTGATGGTCCAACTAGAAAGGAAAAAAGATAGATGAATCTAACAATCTATTTTGTATGCATTTTGTCTATGTTAGTTTCAGTGGAAGTATCTATCTGGTTTGACGAGTAGATATGTATGAATCATGTTATCATGTTCCTTTCCACTTTTGGAAAAGAAAATATTTTGATATCTGACATACCATTTGTTTGAATTAAAAAAAGCACCATAAAAAGCATGAGAAATGAAAAGTTCGTATATATTTCGACGAGAGCAAAATTTGATTAAAGCAGAAGTCATCGATGAACAAAATAATTGGCGAGCTATTAGCTCATCGATAATGTAGGATGTTGATACGTCGAGATGGTTAGGTTAGTGCATAGGCACCGGTCGACAACTTGAAGGAAATCCACCAACAAAGTCATTGACATCAAATAATTGCAGATTTTGCTAAGTGTTGAAGTTGTGTAATAAATGAACAAAACAGAGGTTTACCTACACATCAGAGAAAGACAAAGATAATGGATTGACACAAACACGTGATTGCCAAGTGGCTGTATTATATATGATTAGGAAACATTTTTTTTGTCAATTAAAAAGGCTAAATTGGTCAATTTCGGATTTTATATGTCAAACTCAAATTACAACTAATTATCAATAATAAGAAGCGAGTTAACTTAAGTTTAAGGGAAAAAACCACCAAAAACCCCAAACTTTATCATTTGTGACACATTTACCCCGAACTTTTTTTTGTGCCAAGAAAAACCCCAAACTATGCAACTTGTGACACATTTACCCCAATATAATGTAACCTAGGGCATTTTAGTCTTTTTCCCCTTTTCTATTTTTTTTTCTTTTTTCCGGCGGGGACTGAGGTCGCCAGCGAGGTCTCCGGCAATCTCGCCGGCGAGGGCGAGGGACCCTCGCCCCGCCCAAGCGAGGCGAAGGCTACCCTCGCCTGGGCGGGGCGAGGGCAGCCCTCGCCTCGCCGGCGTCGGGCGAGGGACCCTCGCCTCGCCGGCGTCGGGCGAGGACCCTCGCCCCGCCCGTGCGAGGCGATGGCCGCCTCGCCCGGGCGGGAGTGGGCTCGCCACGCCGGCGTCGGGCGAGGTCCCTCGCCTCGCTCGGGCGGGGCGAGGGTCGCCGACGCCGCCTCGCTTTGGGCGGGCGAGGGGAAGCCCTCGTCCGACGCCGGCGAGGGCAGCCCTCGCCTCGCCCAGGCGAGGGCGAGGGAAGTGTTAGTGGTCTGCCCTAAGAATCAATCAAGGTTGATACTCTAATATTAGTTATGGATTAGGTTGTGTCGGAAAACCGATCTTCACTATACTTAGGTAGTCATAATGTGTTGCTAGAAACCGATTATGACTTGTGGGCCAAAAGAGTTTTGGGCACACTGCTAATGTTTAGTGAACCTACAGGGTCGTACACAATAGCGAACGGACTTAATATTGTCTGTGCGCCTTGATCTACTTAAGAAGTAGATTTTAATTTATTCTCCTATTTAAATTATCTATGCGGTCGTACGCGTTATGAGATAACGATTAAACGTACGATTGAATAGTGGACGGTTTGGCGGGCCCAAATAGCCCGGCCCACTCCTTTTAATTCCGCTAGATAATGAGACTGTATAAATAGATAGAAAATCGTTCTCTGTCTAGGGGTTTTTTCGATAGAGTATCGAAAATCAAAAGGCGTTCAAGAAAAGGAACTTCAAGATCTTTCGCTAGCACGTGGATCGTTGGAGAATTCCGTTCGTGTGTGTGGATACCGGTAGAGGCGCAACGCTTGGGGCGCTCATCCAGACACAATCAGTTGCTGATTTATCTTCGATCTGCAAAAGGTACGTATCGAAATTCCTTTTCGATTTCAATATACGCATGGATCCTGTCTAGGGTTCTATATTCCGCTGCGTTGTTACTGTTAATGAACCCTACAGTGGTATCAGAGCTACTTGTGATATATTGAAATTGAATCGAAAACCCTAATTGTTGATACATATGATGTATGCCTGAAGTGAGTCTAAATTAGGGTTAGATGAATTTGAAATACGAATTGATATGATCAATTCAGAAGGAACGAAGCAGGGATGGGTCGATGTCGATCTTGTTCCGCTCGCGTCGAGGCAGTGACGGCGTCGCGCTTGGGCTGTTGCCCGAGGCGGAGACGGCGAAGCGAAGACGGCGGGCGGAAACGGCGTCGCGCCTGGGCTATTGCCCGAGGCGGGGACGCGCGGGCGGAGACGGCGGGCGGAGATGGCGGCGCGTCCGGGCTGTTGCGCGAGGCCGAGACGGCGGTCGGAGACGGGGCGCGTCTGGGTCTCATTGCCCGAGGCGGAGACGGCAGCGCGCCTAGTCTTCCCGGCGCGTCGAGGACTCGAGGCGTTCGGCCGGTTGCGTACGGTGAGGCGCGAGAGGCGGCGGCGACGGATAGTCTCCCGAGAACACGAATTGAGACTTCGTTTATGTTTTCTGGACTCTCTCGGGAAACAGAATTGTGAATTCTGTCTAGGTTTCGGGGCGCGCACCGAGAGGGGCTCGCCCCTTGACCCCGCGGCGGGCGCCGCCCTCGACCCCATGAGGCGCGCAGCCCCTTGACCCCCGCATGGAATTGTTCGTTCCCATATATATGATTGATATACCTTTGTTATGATAAGTGATGCTTTGTTTTTGTTCATAACATGCATGCATTCATCGCTAAATAAACATTAAGAGTCCCTAATAAAATTAAGTAATAATATGATGCCTTTCCAATCATACACCTATTAAGACTCGAATCGTCAAAAGATGGGCCTGCCAAAGCAGGGTGTCTTTAACTATTTGAGTAAAATAGGATGGATAATGGTTATCCATAAGTCAAGATTGATTTACTTAACGAGGCTATCAAAACGGTTTTGGGCCTTGAGGCATAGTATTTGGGGATAAGATATGAGATGTCAACCCCAACAACCAAGAGTTGTATTCGATACAATTGACAAAGGGTTGTCTACCTAAATAACTTAGTCTTGAGCGGTAAGCCAAAGTTTACTCGAGTCTTGGTAAAATATGGATCTTGGTCCACTATACTTTTTGGGACACATGTTATAAAAGTATAGTGGGAGTTTATTATTTATAATGTTAATGAACAATTCACTTTGCATATTTGTTGTAGATAATGGCAAATAGCTCTGCATCACACTTTTCACTGCGATCTGTCCTTGAGAAGGACAAATTGAATGGTTCGAATTTTTTGGACTGGTATAGAAGCTTGAGAATTGTTCTCAAGCAAGAGAAAAAGGATTATGTCCTGGAGAAACCACTCTCTCAGAAGGCACCTCCTTCCAATGCTCCCCATGCTGAAAGGAATGCTTATCAGAAGCATAAAGATGATGCATTGGATGCATCATGTCTAATGTTAGCTACCATGAACTCAGACCTTCAGAAGCAGTTTGAGAACGTGGATGCCTATGATATGATCATGAACCTGAAAAATTTGTTTCAGGAGCAGGCACGCACTGAAAGATACCAAACAGTAAAGACCTTAATTGAGTGCAAGCTAGCAAGTGGGAGCTCAGTTAGCCCACATGTCATAAAGATGATAGGTTATATTGAAAACCTGGAGCGATCGGGCTCTCCCATTAGCCAAGAGTTGGCTACGACATTATTCTTCGATCATTGCCTCAAGATTATGACACGTTTGTTATGAACTATAACATGCATAATTTGAATAAGTCTTTGACTGAACTGCATGGGATGCTCAAAACTGCTGAGCAGAATATCAAGAAGGACCCTACCCCTAATGTTCTCATGGTTCAAAAGGGGAAAGGCTTTAAGAAGCCAGGTAAGGTCAAGGGTAAGGGCAAGGGCACTAAGTCTAAACCCAAATCCAAGACCAAACCGGGTCCGACTGCTGATGCTGTATGCTTCCATTGTGGGGAGAATGGACATTGGAAGAGGAATTGCAAAAAATATTTGGAGGATCTGAAGAAAAAGGGAAGTGAGACTTCCGATTCAGGTATTTATGTTATAGAAGTAAATGTTACTACTAGTTCTACTTCATGGGTATTGGATACTGGTTGTGGTACTCACATTTGTATGAATGTGCAGGGACTAAAACGAAGTAGAACACT